CTTTCTTTCTTTTTTATGTATTTGGTGCAGGGTCTCACTATGCAACTTAGACTCATAGTGATCCTCCTGTTTTCTGCTTCCCCAGTGCTGGGATTACAGGTGTGTGCCACTACACCCAGACTTGGTAGCTGGCTCAGCGTGCCTGGGAATGGGGCTGGTATAGCATATGGTGCCAGAGATCAAACCTGCGTCCCTGCACTTGCCTAAGCACATGCCCAGTTGGCTGAGCTATCTCGTCAGCTCTCACAAAGCAAAATATGATGGGCAGTTTTTATTGTTTTCTTAGTATGTTATACACAAGAATGACACTAATGTTTACTAAGACAAAATAAATACCAGTGCCTTGTATATCTTTAGGAGCTTCCTACTGGATAAAGCTAAAGACTATGCTGAAAAAATAGACTATTATAGTGATGATTTATCTAGTAGTATACTCTATAAATTTCAAATGAAACTGGGGAGATAAAGAGACTTACCAAGGCTTCGAGGCACATTGGTAATTTTAGCATGTATTATTTTAGTATCAGAGCTTGAGCTATCTGTCACTGTGGCATTAAGGAAAGCGATTCCAAATTCAACATCATTAATATTTCCAATAACACTTCCTCTGGCTCGTTGGGGCCCACCTATTGGGGAAAGAAAAAACATTCCTGGATAAGGAAGCAATCCCATCAACATTACATGGAGAAAAGAAAGCCAATAAATATTCAGAGATGTTACAAATCTTTTCTCAAGCATCAAAAAGGTCCTATGACATCTGAATTTAAAAGTGAAATAAATAAGCTTTTAAAACATTCTATTTTTATGTAACACCCAGCAGCCCCATAAATCCAGTCTCTTTCCCATCTATGCATATCGTAATCTTATTTTATTAGCCAACGAATACAAATCATCATCCAGCCCCATAACTGAAATAAAGTGTTCGCTAAAATGATGAGGCAAGTGAGAGCTTACTGAGCTAGTCATGTGCTAACTTTTAAAAATTCTATCAGCAAGTCTATAAGGGAGTTTAAGTAGCCATAGCTTTTAGATTAGGAGAGTAATAATATTTTACTTTCCACACTCCTCTTCATCTGTGAATGAACAAACAGCCTGTGATAGTGCACGATTACTGTTAGAGATTGAGTTGCTGCCCTACCCTTACATACATGCAGGCTGGAGTCTTACTCTGCTACAAACCCAGAGCTGCCTGTCAAGTGCAGAACTACAATATACAGCAGTGCAGACTATAGCTTTCCATAAGAAAGCCAGAGGGGCAAGTGTAGGCTAAAACTCAACTCTGAGTATTGATACAGAACTGTACCAACTAAGGGCAAAAAAGCACAATATTTCTCTAATTTTTATGCTAGGGCTAGCACTATTTTGTAAATTATGGGCTCAAAGTGACACCTTTTCCCGATTTGTACACAGGCTCTCCGTGTAGGCTGGCCACATCCTGACAGCCTAAAGCAGTCGCTTACCTGGACATGGTTGTGTGTTGCATCTCGCCACCTGAGTAGCATCTCCTCGACAGAAACGACCATTTTTAGAGGGCAGTGGGCTGTCGCAGAGCCGTATCCGAGTCTTTTCACCTCCTCCACAAGAGACAGAACAACGGCTCCAATTCTGCCAGTTTCCCCAGCTTCCATCCACTGCAAACCAGATTGAATGGTCAATGTTAACCAGTGTTGGTTTTAAAATCTAAATCTAAGGTGTCCTTGCCTAGTCAATCTTGATTTCATAATCTGAAATGATGAAGCTACCCCAACAAGCACTAAGTGAAGCACTGAGCTCATTCTGCAGCGAAGAATCAAGAAGCTCACCAGGACACAGGTCAGTATTGCACCTCTGGACCTGGGTATCTGGCCCCGCACAGGCTCTTCCTCCATTGGAGGGACGAGGGTTATCACATGTTCGGTACCGCCGCATCTGCCCTCCGTTACACGTCCGGCTGCAGGTCCCCCAGCTACTCCAAGGGCTCCAGTTACCATGGACTGCAACATGAACAATGTGACATGAAAACAGAGTGCTAAAAATGAGAAATGCGAAACAATGACATTCATCCAAAGAGGGTGGAAAAGCCTCTCCCTAGGAAATGAAAAGAACCATACACATCTATGGACAACTTCCAAAGGCAGATGTTTTGACTAGCAGTGGAATGTACATTCCAGTGAGTATGTAATTCCTTTTTAAATACACTTATTGTTTGTCACCTTAAAATACCCAGGAGCTGAGGAGTATGAACGAGATAGGGTTTCTGTTCTTGATGAGTTAAGACTTTCTGTCGGGAGTCATATATTTCAATAGCCGAAACCAAGGGCTGAAGAATCAATTAACAGAATAGTATATAGCTAAGGATTTTAGGTCATGAGAGAACTTTAAGAAAGTATGTTGACTCACTGTTTCCAACACTCACTTGGACAAGGGTCAGTATTGCAAAAGTCACTCTGGATATCACTCCCTTCACATTTACTTCCCCCATACTGGGGGACAGGATCAGAGCAGTCCCTTGTTCTCTGTCTGGTACCTCCTCCACAAGACACAGAACAGGCACTCCAGCTGCCCCAAGGCGACCACCTGCCATCAACTGGATTAATAAGAAAACATATGTCATTGGTTATAAAAATGATCAAGTAAACAAAAAATCAAGTTCAATCCTGGGCATTCTTAGGCTAGGTGACGTTCCTGGGTGGGTCAGGATGCAATAGATTCTTGTTGACATTCTGTTCAGATAGGACGTAGATGTTAATTAATTAAAGGCAGAAAGAGTCTGATCCTCTTACCTGGACAGTGCCTTTCGTTGCACACTCGCATTTGTGTTTCTGCCCCGCCGCAGTAGGACCCGCCAAACGATGGTGGTGGGTTGTTGCAAAGCCTGGTTCGCATCTGGGTACCTTCTCCACAACTTTTGCTGCATTCACCCCAGGGCTGCCAAGAACTCCATCCTCCGGGAACTACAAACCCACCAGGAGACAGTGTTTCAAGATACAGACCATGTTTGTTTAAAATAAAGAAGTATATAAATAGATTAACTCAGTAATGATGTTCTTCTTTTATCCTTCTGGTTAGATTTTCAAAGGAATTTGTATCTAGGGAAATTCAGAAGGCCTATTTCATGCCAAGATAAATGCTTAAAACTATCCAAATGAGGCTACTTTATTAAAATTAAATTTAATCAAACTATCACATGTAAACAGAACTGAGCCTTTAATTATTAGCTAAGTATCTGTTTACAATCCATAGTCAGGGGAAAGCAAAAGGAGCAAGAAGCTCATGAGCAAGGCCATCCATCCATCATGCCTAATGTGATTAGGGACAACACAAATATTTCAACAATAATAACCTGTGTTCAAGCCCACCAGAAGTCTACTTCTTTGAGCCTGATTCCACTTCATAGTTACCATGTGCTTGGATTTCAACAACAAGACAATTTGTACTCTTGTACCTCTGATAAATTTTCTCCATTACATAATGTTCATGAATTAAAAATCTGGAGTAACACTTACCTGCTTCCTAAAAACAAAACAAAACAAAATTGACCTATAGCAAAGAATAATATTAATGCCTTCCTTTTGGTAACTAGCATTTTACAGCGTGTAACCAGTCGACTGAAACAACTGCATATTTCCTGCCATGTATATGGTCTAGAGTCAACAGTATGGTTTTTCTTACATACAAATCAGTGTCAGGTCATATTTTTGTATTAGAATTTTCTAGACTTAGGTCATATAAAGTGTTTCTTTAGCAGCTATTTAACCAAGATATGAACCAAAATAGGGGCAGTAATGTCTGCAACTAAATTTTTTTAATGTAACTTATCAGATACCAAAACAATAACTTGAAAATCAAGTAATAAGAAAATTATCTGTCTGAACTGTTTAGAAAATACTTAAGAATGTAGATGGCAATTTCTCATAATTAACTAGTTTATGACTGAGGTAGTACTTATTGTTATCCTTCATCGACAGAGGCAGACATAGTCATCCAAATGTTCTAGCCAAAAAGAATTTGCACTAAAAATGTATTTGACAAAATCTTAAAAGAAAAAAAAAACCACATTAGACATGTGGCAGATGTCATTGCAAGTGATTTCTGCAGCACCGCAGGCTGTGGATACTTATACTTTTCATTTCAAAATTTGTAGAGTCCTGATGATTTTGCCACATTCTGTTTTCCAGGTTAGACAAATGAATGAACAAGTGGCCCTGCCTTTGTTGTATATTTCTTTTGAAAGAGCAGAGAAGGAGCTCTGTTCATCTGGACACTAGGTGGATGCAGACATAGCCCAGGCTGCTGATCACAGTACCCTTCCGTATTCAGCTGAGTTCAGACATAAGCATATGACAAAATCAAACAAAACCAATTAGGGTTCTTCTTCGGAGGCTGGTAGCAACTCCAGGAGACAGAACTCTTTTTCTCTGAGATCTTAGATTACAAGCCCCTGCATGTGGCAGTAGGTGCCAGATCATTTTTTCCCACACATATAATGAGTTTAATAGACAATAAAGCCAAACAGAGAAAAGCAGAGACAAGACATGGAAAACATACTAGTAAAGGCATTGGGCAAACTCTTGCATTCTATCACACCTGAAAGAAGAACTTTTCAAGTTCAATTTAAACAACTTAAGCCTGTTTAAGTTGAATTTCTGTCACTTCAATCTTAAAAATCTCTAAAATGTGAAGTCAATAAAGCATCTATATGAAGCTGTGTGGTTCTGTTGTATGTTAGGTATTTGGTATTTAGCAAATGGCAGCTGTTGGTATTGTGGTCTTCACCTGGCTAATCTTTCTCACCTGAAAATGGGTGGCTCGATTAGATGTTACTTAAATTAGTAATCACCTCTACAATTTTGCTAGTTTTTTAATGTTTCAATTTTCTCTGTATGATTAAAATACCAAATGATGAAGCAGTTTTCATGTTATATTAAATCAAGTATTCTAGTTAACATTGATCAATGTCATATTGTCACAAGTTTTGGGCATGAAATAGAACTAAGAACATACAGAATATATGTATTCTTAATGGTGGAGTCTTTCATATCTTTTGACAATAAAAAGAATTTTAATTATAACTATAATCTTGTGGGAATTAAAATATAAAAGTTTTGCTTATTCTAATAGAATTGAGGGTTCTCACCTGGGCAAGGCCTAACGTTGCACATGATTATTTCCACAGCATTTCCTTCACACGGCCGCCCACCATGCTGAGCTGGTGGGTTATTGCAAGTCCTGGTCCTGGTTCGGTTGCCCCGTCCACAGCTCTTGGTGCATTCTTCCCAAAGACTCCATTCTGACCAGCGGCCATCCACTGCACAAAGGTGAACCATGATGCTGTCAGGTTGTATCTCAATTGCAAGTACAAACACGGAGGCAGCCCCATAGGCAGGCGACAGAAGCTGAGATCTACCAATCACACAGCAACCAACTGAATGCAGGGTGTACCTGGACACAGCTTGTTCTGGCAGTTTCTCATTTCTGAATCTGGCCCTTGGCATGGCTTCCCACCATTGGCTGGACGAGGGTTGTTGCACAGCCGACTCCTGGTCTGGATGCCATTCCCACAGGTGACACTGCAGGGCCCCCAGACAGACCACGGGGAAAATGCACCGTGAACTGCAAATAAAACACTGCGCTTTGTTTCACTCTTGTATGTAAAAGACTGTGTCACATTTCATTGAAGTTATGGACTGGATATAGAACTGAATCTGTGATTTTTGAGAAATAGCTTATGGGAGCTTCCCTTCGAGGTAAAATAAAAGTCTAGGCTGAGTGAAGAACTTAAGTTAGAGTTCTTTCTCAGATCAGACCCAGACTCACATGGACACTGCTGCTGGAAGAGTCAGAGACCACAAAATTTACTTTCTTTCTTTTTTTTTTCCAGTACCAGGGATTGAACTCAGGACCTTGCACTTGCCAGGCAAGTGAATTATTCTACTGAGCTCTCTCCCCAGCCCTTCTTTTTCTTTTTGGACATATAAACTTCTTTAAGGCAGATACATACATTGATTTCTGAGAATATATTTTGTGTAGTTTCAACTATAAAATTTAGCTTAAGATTTTGAATTATTAACTTGGCATTTTAAAACTCTAATCTCTACTTAGTCTTTCTGGTCTGTAAATTGTGATGTGATTTTGTTGTTGTTGTTGTTGTTCTATCCCTATCATCTAGAACTATCTTATGCTTGAGGGAGACTTAGATTAAGGGGTTTAATAACTGTTATGGTGTGAGTTACCCTTTGTGCTAATGAACACGAATATCTCTCTAACCACACTCACCCTGGACAATGACCGGCACTCTGACAAGGACAGAGCCCATTAAATTACGAGCAACACACTCGTATTCAGAAGTATCTTCCTTCTGAGCAGCTGCAATATACAATGAGTTGTTGGGTAACATGCTCACTCGCTCATCCCAGGGGACAGAGTGCCCCTGACGAGACCAGGTAATAGTTGGATGAGGCTCTCCTGCTGCCTGACAGTCCAATCGGACTTGGCCACCGGCATTAACGATAGTTTCCGCTGGCTCAAGGGTGATAGTGGGAGGACCTGTGGAAACAAGGACACAGGGATTCTGTTTTTGTGGAATTATATGAACATCTTCGTTATAGATTATATGGTAATCATATTTTGGAATAAAACCACTAAGTGGTTTATTTATAAATATACTACTTCACAAATAAAAAGTTTGTAGATAGAATAGCCACTCACAAAATTTTGATTTATTTAGTGATCCCCAAGCTTAGAGTAGTGGTGGCCAACTTGTGGCACATGTGCCATAGGGGAGAAAGCTCTAGAAGGTTCGCCATAACTGGTGGAGCATGGGCGCTGCACTCTTTCTGGATTCATATTCTGCTCTGTTCCTTGCTACTCTGAGTCTATGTGTTCTTAAAAAGGGTGTCCAGTCCAGAGCTTTCCTGTTACAAGCAACTAATTTGTCTTTTAGATAAGGAACAAAGACAATATCCTTGAGTTGCTAAGGTTTTTGCCTGCATTTTGCATGGTGAATGTTCAGTTCTCTTTCTAGATTATTTCTGTAGTAATCATTAACTTATTCTTTCAACACTGGTCATTATTTATTTGTTCAATAAATATATATTGAGAGCTAACTATTTTCCAATCATTGTTCCAGGTGTACAGAAAACAGAAATAACAAATTTTTATCTCAAGGAGCTTATAGTCCACTCATAAAATAGACAAGTGACTAATCATATACCTGTGCTGTACTATAGCTACAGCATAGGTACATGTATGCTGATAGGAGAGCATAATTATGACCTCATAGATCAAACTAAAGCATGCCACCGGAAGTGGAAAAGAAAAGGAAGACATAGTGAAGAATTTTAAGTAGGAATGACAGGACTTTGGTGTCAAGTAGTATGGAAAAGGGAAGAATTGATAAAAGGTTTTGATCATATAATATGGTGTATGTTTGGCAATTCAATAGAATGTAGAGCTGATATTTAGGAAGGCAGTAAGGAGTGGGTGATAATTGACCCATTTAAGACTGCTAAATTTCAGGAATCGGTAAGACATTCCTATACAGATGTTGAGATGGCAGCAAGATACTCAGGCTGAGGCTTAGAATAGATATGCGGGCAAGTAATGTAGATCTGTGTCTTTCACTACTGGCTAAGACTGCTTCATAAAAATGAGAACTGATTAGAAGTGTGACCCAGTGAGGGAATCAGTGTAATGATGTTAGTGAAGAGAAGGACAGAAGACAAGTCTATAAATAACACAAAGGACTGATCACTGAGGTAGGAAAAACATCAGGAGAAAATGACATCCTGGCAACCAAAGAAAGCAGTTTCAAGAGAAGAAGAGTTAACAGTGTTGACCTCAGGCAACAGGCCTGCAGGTCTTGGGAAAGAAAGTGTGGAAGGGGAGTTGCACATAGCTGCCGACACAGTGTTATTTTTCTTTTGTTCTGTGGTGCCAAGTAAGATAGAATATGAAAATGTTTTCACGTAGAAGGGATTTGAGCTGGATTTTCAAAGTTCAGTATTATCTGGGTAGAAAGGAGATCCAGCTGGACTTGGACAGAAAGACACAGTGTGGAGATGACATTAACTTTTTCTTTTTCGGACAGTGTGACTAGACAGCTTGATATACCCTGCAATGCAGTAGCATGTAAGGTTTTAAGGGCTGGCTAAACCAGGGGTTTCTTGAAAGGGCTTCTCAAAAAATTTATTTTTAAATAAGTGAGCTAGGGCAGCATGCACGTTCATGAGGAGCATGGTGGGGTGAGATTGCGAATGAACTGAAAAGTGGCATAATCTGTTCAGTGAGAAGGAAGGAGTACCAGATAATTTAGGATTGTGGCTGCACATTCTAGTATCTGTAATAAATACAGCATAAAGCAAAAGTAGAAGGCTGTTGTACTAGTAATTTAATATGCTAGTGCTCTCATTAAAGGCATTGCTGACGTGTCTTTTGCAAAAGTAGCTCCTTTATGTGGAGTCCGTCTTCCTCAGCAGGTGCTCCGCAGCATGTCATTTTCGTTCGTCAGTATCATTTCACACAATTGCCTTCTTAGCTGATGTTCACGTTGACCTCACAGATCTCAAAAGGCTGAGGATATGTTCAGTGCAAAGACCCTGATTCAACCCTCAGCACTGAAAATAAGTGATATCGCTATTGTCTATTGTGTGCTAAGCATTCTTTAGGTATACCAAGTTTCTTTTCTACAGATCTTTCCAGAAATGTTAATAGGCTGATAGGAGTCATGGCTCAGCAAGCTTATCTGTTCACACTATTATAGCCAAAGGAAGTATAAATAAAACTAAAAAAAAAATCTTAATTTATACGCCATATTTGGAATGGTCAATTGTCCATAACATAATATATTCGTATAACACAAAAATCCCAAATGTACATTTTCAAGGTTCAGTTAATTCCATCATTCAAATAATTATTAATCAAATAGGAGCAGTTTATCTAAATCAAAATATTGCTTCTGGCACTTTCATCTTAATTTGAACCATTTGTTGGCTTTTTTATATGCCTCATTTGGTAAAAAAAGAATTCACTGTCAGGAGGGTAAGTTGATCTGAGGAAGTCATTCTTAAACTAGGTCAATGAAAAACTCCCTGGGAGGGAATGTACGACACCTACATTCACACAATGGAGAGGGGAGAGTGCTCCTGGGAATAACATTTATTTTAAAAATGTAGCATAGTACTTGTGTATTCTTTTCTTGCTGAGCCATGACTCCTATCAGCCTATTAACATTTCTGGAAAGATCTGTAGAAAAGAAACTTTGTGTACCTAAGGAATGTTTAGCACACAATAGACAATAGTGATATCATTTATTTTCAGTACTGAGGGTTGAATCAGGGTCTTTGAACTACACTGTATCCTCAGGCTTTTGGAATCTGGATATAAGGTCTCATCAAGTTGCTAGACTGGGTTGCAACTATAATCCCCAAAGTGTGGGGATTATAGCTGTGTGCCACCATCTCCAACAATAAAGGCACTTTTAAAAATCCATGTTTCTCAGACTCACTTAATTACAAATCACTATTTCTCCCCAACAATACACCATACTCTACCTTTACTAGTTAATAAAAATGTACTTTGGTTGACAGCATTTTAAACATCTCTCTAATGTCTCTGATCTGGTCAAGTCTAACAGAGTGGTAGTTTGCCAAGCTGCTGCTAGGAAATACTGATTGAGAATGTCTCTCAGAAATGAGTGAAGAAAACGTAAATGCGTCGTGTAAAATACTGGGCCTATTCACAAAATTACTTGGCTTGCCTGCATTTTCCACCCAGTGACATCTTCGAGTCAGCCCCCGGCATGCTTCTGCAGACTTTCCAGTAGGCCACTGACATCTTCTACCTTTTTCACTTAGGAAAGTTTTCCTTTTTGATTGCTTTTACTGAACAGCTCCATAAGGAGCACAAGGATCCCACCCAGGACACACAGTTACTTCATGGAAGATGGACTTGAGTCTCTTGGAAGAGCCTTTGAGCTCACATGTATTAGCCTTTATCTTTAATAAACATTTTAAAAATGCTATAGAATTGCATATACTAATACTTCGAGGAATGTGGTGAACTCTAAGAAAACTTCTCCATTGAAAATGTAAAAAGGCTTTCACACCAATTCATTGGAGCTTTACATTGTGCACGTCAGATAAAACAGAAAAGAATGAGCAAAGTCTATCAGTTCTGCGCTTGATGGTAACTGCAGCAGTATTAGCAGAGAACTAAACTGGACACACAATGAAATCTGTTGCTAAGTGCCTGCCATAAAGTTAAAGAAAACAAACATTTTGTGCTAGGCAGCATTTTTAAAGTTGAACATTCAGGATTTAATGAAGCAGCTTACTCTGAAGGGTCAGGCTCATGCTGCGCTGCACCACCCCCGCTTCATTGGCAGCTACACAGGTGTAGTCACCGGCATCTTCATTCTATGAAAAGAAGCACTGTTTTTATTTAAAATAGGAGCCTACCATGCAAGGAAGATCACCTTTTCCCCACAGTGGTGGAAATTTAACTTTTGAGAAAGTATTTGAATGGAAACAGCAAAACCTACATGTCTCACCTCGTAGTTTTTAAAAAGAGGAGAAGAAAGAGGAGAAAGCTGAAAATTAAAGAATTCCAAACCCAAACTTTTCCAAAACAGCCTGTCACTGTTCTCCAGAAATAATAACTGTTTCATAACTCATTAAAATTATCTTAAAAAATATAAATACAATTTTCACGGGTATCTTATAAAGCATTAAGCAAATCAGTGCAAATTAACAAATATTGAG